CCCCTTACTTTTCTCTCGCCTTCGTCTTGCACTGTGTAGCATTAGTGTGCACTTGAAGGTCTGGTTCTTAGACCATTCGATCGGCTGTGCCTATATCCTATAGCATATCACCTGACTAAACATTCTGTGTAGCATGTTGCACACACAGGTTCTGTCTCCTTCGGTCTCATTTCTGGCTGGGTATAGTGTAGCGGTGCTACAAGGAAGACCGTGTGGATTCGGCCGTCTCATTTCTGGCTGCATATGTTTAACCCACCTTATATCTTTCATCCACGGGTATTTCTGAATGTGTTTCAGTTTGTATGTGTGTGCTTCACATTTGGACGATTCACAAAAACAAACCATTGCTACGATTACATTAAAGTGACCACGCAAAAAAAACTTAATTACGAACCGCAAACACGACGGTTCCTGCTGGTGACATGCCGACGCACGGGTGCTTTTTTAAATTTTTTAATTATGTGCTTAATTTTCAAAAGTTCCCTGTGCACTTCTGTTTCCAAGAACAAAACGGGATTCAAGTGCCCCCATCGGTAAGAAAAATCTGCTTTTCTCCAAGAAAAGCGTATCTTGTCTACCCTTTCCCCTTTTCGAAACCAGTTTCGACGACTGACCGAGTGTCAGCATGCCGAAAGAAATGGCAGGCTCGTTGCGATTTACTTTATAAGGAGTTTAAATTTACCAGGAGTGGGCGCAAAGTTACCGGTTTACCAACATCCTCTTCCCTGTACCGGAAAGAAACACTCCAGAATTCAACGTTTCTATCTGCTCAACATTTATTCAAAAAAGTTGAAAAATCACCATGCATATCAGGAAAAGATCACGTATACACACAACAGAAAACGCTTCGTGCATATTAAACAAAAAGGGAGTCAATCGAACAGCAACACATCTTAGTGATAATGAGTAAAAGAAACCGATATTTACTCTGAAAAGAAAAAAATTTTTGCTATAGAAATCTAGTTCATCTGCCAGATGCGTCCAGTACCGTACATCATTTGATTGGTTCCCAAACCGGTGACCACTTCGCTGGAACTATACGCAAATGTACTTCAAGTTCTTACGCTGGGTACATGTTAAATTTAATAACGAGTTTATGCGCTTAAAAAAATTCTTGCTAAAAAACCTAGTTCATCTGCCAGATGCGTCCAGTACCGTCAACAGAAAACACAGTCCATGCAATGGAAAGGATAAACGTAGAAATCAACCCTTCCCGTGCACTGAAGGCCAAGGTGAAAGGTCATGGGTCACAGCTGATAATTTCAAATCTTCAGGAATTGAAAAAGCTCATAAAAAATACTACATCACGAGTTTTCTTGTCAGTTCAGTTTTTGACTCTCCCCAGATTTCTCACTGCTAATCCTGATAGATGAAACCGCCTATGCCATACTTTGAGGTCCGGAATCTTGAAGGGGTCCACAGGTACTCAAAACCTGTTATTTTTTCAGTCAGTCCAAGTACTCATTCAGTTTACACTTGTTCCTGGTACCGATTGGCTTTCGCAGAATACCGAATGCGCTCGGGCTTGTTTGGACTAGTAAGCGGCGCTGGAGGGGGATTGGTGTTCGATGGCAAGTAGGACGCCGAGCAGGCGCTGATTCCAGCCGGCATCTCGCAGATGTAGGTAAGCTCTTCCTCGCAATTGATGTCCATCCACCGCGGTATGATACTTTCGGCGTAAACAACGCAGTTCACGTTGTTGTTCTGCCGCGGCGCGTTGCTTGCCCAGGCAGAGAAGCCGCCGAGATCTGTGCCGTCGGCCCAGCGGAACTCGCCCTGGCCGCCCTGTGGGTCGATGTCGCTAAGCCCCAGCCACGTCTGCGTCGACGGGATCTCGCCAAAACGGCCAGCCAGGAAGCTGAACACGAACTTGTTCTCCTCGTCACTGTTGATGGAAACAAGGTGTCCTTGCCCTGCGGTGGATGGAGTGGCCGTGCCGCACGGGGTGAACAACTGGCACACACTCTCGGCAGCCGTGTAAAATCGCGGGTAGCCGAAGAGACGATAGCAGGACTGGTCAAAAAGGGTCCAGTAAGCTGGGCAGACCAGTTGAGCCTTGCATGTTACCACGCATAGCGTAAAGCACACCATTAGTAACAGCTTCATCTTGGAGGCGAATCCGCGACAGGCGCACAAAAAACTGCAGTGCGATGTGTCTCGACGTTGCTGGCCGAGCAGACTGCAATGAAGCCTCAAACGAGACCTCCTCGGCGCGGCTACATGAAATTCGTTCAATGAAGTGCGCGTGCGCAGATCCTAAAATTACGCATCGTGCAGGCTGGGATCTGATTCGCTGATGAGGCGCCTCAAAATGCGGTCATAGAGGTCATCAGCAGTCCGGTTATATTCCAAACTGTTTGCATAAAAAATCCTTTAGGAAGAGGAACTTTCCAATACGTTACCGAACAGCCAAATGCAACCACAATGGGGGCTATATAAATACATGTATGTGCATCTGAATGCAAGTAACAGCTGAAAATTAACCTAAAACCTTTTCAGGATGATCTGATACCATGACTATTTCACAGCCCTTTCAGTGATAATTTTGTAAAGTTACCTCAAAACGGAAGATTCAAACTGAGATATTTCATTAACACTGGGGCTTTGCCCCTTTCAGTGGTAGGTTCCGTTGCCGCTGCGCTTGCGGAATTTTTTGCTTTCTACAAACGAGGGGATCAGAATGCCGGCTTGAGGCTAAGGTAACCGAAACAACATCTCTCTGGTTTTGGAGACAAGACTTGTCATTCATTTGGTACGGTGTACTATTTACGACAAACATTTCTCTCTCTCTCTTGCCTCCCTCCAGGCGACGCAACCAGACAACGCGACGGCACGACGGCTCCCTTGCGTCGTGCCGTCGGGTCGAACAGTCGGGTTCAAGTGCAGTTTGCAGTTGAAAGGCTTGCAGTAAAAAGAGCTTGAATGGATGTCGAAGATGTGTTGGGCTATCTGATGTTTGGGGTTCAAGTGCACAGTCTTTCCTTCCCCTCGACTAAATCGGGTTTCGGAACGGAATTCACGTGGCTCTGGTCCAGGCCACCCACTGTCCAGCAACGTACGCATGTGTGGTTCAATAGGCTTACACTGGTAATGTTTTTGCCTAGAACAGGAAAAGGACGAATTTGTAAGTATGGCAGGTTCGATGGAAGGAGAAATCACAGAGAGACAACAGAACAGTCTCTGTTCAGTCCAGTAGCCAAGTGAAGTGGAAGGTCACTGGCTGGGGAAGTTATCACCTCCTCTCAAGGACTCTTGTGGCTGGTTGCAAGTTCTGCTACCAACTGCCCACACGCACTGTCAAGCAACCCACACAAATTGTGTGACCTAATTCTGGGGGAGTTAGGATTTCAAAAAGTAGGGGGACAAAATCAATTCTTTTACATAAAGTAATTTTGGGCATGATGTTGCGTTAGTTCTTCTACCATCTATACTATAAGATTTGACAATATTTCAAGAGCTGTCAGTTCAACGCTCTGCATGCCCATGGCGGCAGCGTACAAGGAGCAAATGCCATGTCCTGGGTGCATGCAGTCCACTATTCAAGTAAGAATTTCTGCTCAGCTCTTTAGCATTAAAAATGGCAGCCCAGCATTTTTCCGAAAAAAGGGAGATTGTTTGGCCCCCGAAATGGTGAGATTGTGTAAATCGTTGCCAGGATCAACTGCGTGGTTTTTGGTTTTGTCGAGAACGCTGACATCATCTTTGCACGCCCATGATTTCCGTCATCCCGTAATTGGCGGATATCAGCAGTGAGTGATTCATGGGGTTGGGGCCAGCCGGTGATATCTCACCCCTGACACCCGTGACGTTATCGCTGGCCTCGTCACCGCAAATGGACGTGGGCCAGGCTGGCGGGTGTGCTCATTTAAATAAATCTGCATATTCAGAACAGGCTTTGGCCTGTCTCCGCCCAGGTTACGAACACGACAACTTGAGTGCCGTTAGCTGGGCATTGTGGTCTCACGAGCACTTGAGCTCAACGGTTTAAACCAGAGTGCCTCGCCATTCTTGTGACCAGGCATCTGCTGGAGGTTGCACACCGTCTGTGGAAAAAGCTGCCTCGCTGCCTCAAACGCCGCTCACTCCAACGAAGGACAAGATGGCGATGCTACAGGTCGTGTCGCTGCTAACTTTGGCCGCCCTCGCCGCTGCACAGTGCCCCGACGACTTCACGTCGTTCGGCAACAACGCCTGCTACATGGCCAGCGCACAGAAGCTGCCCTGGGAGGAAGCGGAGAGGTTCTGCAACTCGTTTTCCTCGTGCGCCAGCGGCGGGATTGGCCACCTCGTCTCCATCCACACGGAACTGGAGAACCAGTTCGTACACACCCTCTACAACAAGCTGGCCTTCATGGAGCCTGAGAACTTCTGGATCGGCTACAACGACCTGGTACAGGAGGGCACGTTCGTGTGGAGTGACGGCTGGACATACCCGCCCGGCACCACTCCCTTCACCAAGTGGGTCGGCCAGCCGCCCGGCGCCTTCTCCGCCGAGGATTGCGTCGCCATGGACGGCTCCACTGCGCAGTCCGGGCAAAGCCAACCGGGGCGGAACCCCCAGATGTGGCAATTGCGTGATTGCAGGACGCCGCTGGCGTTCGTTTGCATTATTGAAGACTCCCCATCCCAGGAGTGTCCAGCTCCCAACCCCCCTAGACGCGGAGTGTAAACGCTCTCGTTTTGGACTCTCGGGTATAGTCGGGTGCCATCGGTGTACATCAGACTTTATCACACAACGGACTCGGAAGCTTTCCGCTTTACACACAGTTCCTGACTCCCTCTCTAGAAGATGAACTCGGCAACAGTAACGTGGCAAATCAAGGACACAAGAAGCGATTTTTATCCTGCAGAAGCTTCAGAATGCATAATTTATCGATTAAACCAGTTATAAGTGTATTCAGTTTTGGAAATTACAAAGACCATGCGCCGTGAATAGCTCAATTCCCTTGAAGTGGCCAATTCAGATAAATGTGGTACCCTTTTCAGGGCAGAGTCAGATTTTGTCACTTATAACATAAATTACCAGATTTGCTTGCGAAGTTAACGATTTGCCATCTTTTGGTGTGCCAACCGAGGCCGATTGTGCGTCGGAGTCGGCATCGCTTGATACAATTTCATACGAATCAGCACGGCAAGTTGGATGGTAACGCCGGACAGTCATTAATCGCCCCGACAGACGTCACTGCTTAAGAACTCATGAACTAGAGAAAAAATGGTTTCATTTCTCACAAAAAAGGGGACATATTGGGATAAAAATTAGCAGAGAAAGATTGTCAGACCATCAGATAAAAATCGCAGATGTAACTATTTAGTGTCATGTCTCTTCAACACAAAGTCAAGCGGAGATTTTCTGTGACAAATTTCAATTTTGCCTGAAAATGTAAGAAAAATTCCACATGTATTTTGTAGAGTCTACATTAAATGGCTGTTAACATTTCAAGTTTTTGTTGGTGCATTTTTTATTTGTTAATGTTCTCGAGTGACAGATTTTAGATAATGTCCCGTCTTTAAAACAGCCCGATCATTGGGAAAACTCGACCGAGGGAAGGACTGTGCAGTTCATCAAAGAAGCTGAGAATAAAGCACAAGTTTGTAAATATTTGTCGATTTCCTCATTCCGAAATGGAACAATATAAAAATAGTGCTGTGATCGCTACGGAGGAAGGTTTGGGTGTATTATTCATTCATTTTGGTCCCAAGTTTGTTTTCTTGTAGCCCTCAGTTAGAAAAAAACACGAAGAAAAACTACTCAAGTAAAAAAAAAAAAAAACCAAAACAAAACACAAGTTATGCCCCTCTGGGGTATAGCTTGGGTGGTGTTGTGTTGGAATGATATTGTGATACAAGTATCATTCATTGACTTGTGAGTCGTTTATACAACACAAACACTGTGGTGTTAACAACACTTTTTGGTGCCATCAGATGACCACACCACAGGGTGTTACTTTAACACCGCCGGTATTGCTTTACACACGTATAAGTGTTACAATGCACTGGAAGGTATCAAAAGTAACACCAACAGTGTTGACGTAACACTAAAAATGTAAACACCTGTTTACATTTTTTGTTGTCGTTGGCACAGTCCTCTGATAACACTGATGTAACACCCAGGCTTTTGCAGTGTAACATTCAGAGACCTCTATCATCCCTCTGGCACAAACAAGTTTTTGGGTCCTTCCCCTATTTGGGCTGTCAAAGTTGACATCGCAGGCTCATACTTGACCGGGGAGACATGCCCTCTCCAAATCGTATTACAGTGTATTTTGATATCGCCGTCAAGTATGCTTTTGATGGAACCTCCATCTGTGAGCACAATAAACGTTGTGACGCCAGTTTATGTAAACTGTGACCACACTGTACACGAATAACTTACTGTACACGAATTTTGGAAAGGGACAGGGTGCCGTTTCGTGTCTTTCCAATGACGATAATACAGGGACAAGTGCTGATTAATCGACAGTGGTATGAAACATCAATGGAACATGATTGAACATAACTGCAGCATGCTGTTTTTCTCCCCGATTGAGCAGCAGCTCTGTGATGTGTGGATTTCGTGTGAGAGGAAGAGAGGGCGCTTTGCAATCGAGCAACAACCTCACTTTCGGACGGGTGAGGTTATAAGCCAGGCACTCCGTGCATGACGTCACTATCTAAAACTCTCACAAGCACAGAAAACCCATTTACAGCACAGGCATGACGAAAAACGTCTTTTCACTACCTTAAAGCACGTGAAAGAACTCTTGTCGGCAAGCTGCCACAAGAGTCTATTAGATAACGAGTTGGGCCATAGATTTTACTGCCCTGAGTTCGATTCCATTTGAAACTGCTTTTTCCAATGCTGTTTTTCTTCGCCAAATATTTTTTCAATTGAAGGAACAACGGTGCAGAGTGAGTCCGAGACCCAAGAACCACGATGAGTTGCAGTTGGGTATTATGGTACATGGGCACTAGATTGGAGCCAGGCAGGTGGTGACGTCATGCACAGGCTTCCTGGCTTATAGGGTGCA